CTTTGTTAATATTCTGTCCTAGAAGGCATTTAGATGTGCCCTTTTTTTTTTGTTGAGCACCTGCCCCTTTAGTGGTCTCTGCACGGCCCTGATTGTGGCGTGTGTTGATCTTGTTACACTCTAATGAACTTCTGCACTTTATTTTCTTTCATTCTTCATTAGGGTAAATGACCTCCTCCTATTGACTATAAGTCATTTTATAACACACATTCTCATTTGATTTTCTTGTGCTGCATGTATTGCGAGTTTATTAAACATGACACAGTCGCCTGAGCCCAACTAGGTCACGATCACCAATTTAAAAAAATTTGGCCTTTTTGGGGTCAGGCTATAAATCTGAAATTGGGAGACACTGACTATAAATCTGATGTCTCACTGTTTAAATCCCATCATATTTCTGTTTTAAACATAATAGAAAAATAGAAATGCTTTTCAGAAAAGGCTATTTTCATCAGCACTATCTTTTGACTTGGCATTAACATGTGATGTTAAACTCGATAAAGCGATCAGAGATTGCACAGGACAGTCTGGAAAACGAACCCCTCTGGGTTTGCTACATTGACTTTCTTCTTCTCCCCAGGAAACATCATTGGCTCTGGGATCTTTATTTCTCCAAAGGGGGTCCTGGAGCACTCTGGTTCAGTGGGTTTGGCTTTGGTGGTGTGGACACTGGGAGGCTGTGTTGCTGCTCTAGGCTCAATGTGCTACGCTGAGTTGGGTGTCACCATTCCCAAATCTGGCGGTGACTACTCCTATGTGACAGAGATATTTGGTGGGCTGACTGGGTGAGTAAAAGCTTTCCTTCACTTCACACTGCAGCCAAGAAATGTAATTTATCATAAAAGTTTTCTGTCAGACCTTTACATACTACTTTCAAAATTGAGCTTATAGAGAAATGTACTTTGCACTTTCTAACAAATTAGGTGACAACTTTGACATTTTGCTAGAACTTCAAACAATTCCCCAAAAACAGTACAGAGACTTTATGTCTTACCTCATTGTTGATCAATCTTAACTGGTATAAAAACCAATGAGACTATAACCACTAAAATGTTTCTTAGTAATGTTCTATTGGATGGAGGATTTAGGGACAACTGTTGCAGTTTCTCATTTTAATGTGTGGACCTCAAACAAAAAAAAAGGACATCTGTTGTGGAAATTCAGTGCTCTAAGCTGATATACTGGTCAGTCTTGATCCAAGCATTTTGTTTACTTTTTGATGAACTGGAAGCCGATACAGAAAATGTGTTTTTATGTAGAAATTCCATTAAAGTTCTCCGTCTTCTTTTCTTTTGGTGAGTTTTTAATTTTGTCCCATGTCACCAGGGTTTCCTGTCTCTTTCAGGTTTCTGTTGTTGTGGAGCGCAGTCCTCATCATGTACCCAACAACCCTGGCTGTTATTGCCCTTACTTTCTCTAGCTATGTGCTGCAGCCTGTCTTCCAAAACTGTGCTCCTCCATACATGGCAACACGACTTTTATCTGCAACGTGTCTTTGTGAGTGATTTTTCAGTTCATTCTCATATATTGGTGAATCAGGACACCTGGTGTTGGGAGTTTCAGATTGGTACAGAGGAAACTTGGGACTGATCAAATTTTGAGATATACTGACTAATTCTGTAATGCTGATGATGCTGGTAAAAAAAAAAACTTGATATATTTTGTTGTTGACAAGTTGGGAGTACACTTTCAACAGTACTTCATTAATTCATTTATTTAATTATTTGTATCCATTGCGATTGCTTCTTTTGTTTTTGCTCTTTGAGATCAAAAGATATAAAGGGCATTATTAATAAAATCTATTGTTATTATTAGTGAAGTAATGACATTTTGCTAGGATTTTGTTTTTTAGGATTCTGATCTTTTAACTGAGTTAAAATATTTCTCCAAGCTGTAAAGATCAATCATTTATTTGTCTCCTGGTGGAAGATTTCAGTCTCTCTCGTCATTGGTTGTCCTCCTGCAGTACATCTACTAAACCGCGATCTGGATCAGGCCCCCTCTCCCAGCCTCATATCCACCAGAGCCATGCAGTTACGGAGCTTTATCTGAAACGGAAAAAATAAAACTTTTTAAACTTTCCAAATTGTCTGTGTCCGAGTCTGCATGTGGGTTAAGCGGATTCCCCAGAACATGGCAATATGGGTGAAAGGGAGAGAATATGCTGGGAGAAACTTATATTTTCCATTACTTTAATAATAGAGGTTGGGCGTCGTTGGAGATTGTGTGGAAATGACTCTGCAGGACATTTCCACATTTTCTGGGATTGTGCTGCTATCTCCTGTACTGGAAGGACATGTCTGCAGTCAGATCTGTTATTTAAACAGAAATTAACTTTACTTTTAAGGTAATTTGTTTAGGAAATCAGAAGAACCCCCATTCATTTTTAATATGATTTGGGAAATTACAAATGACATTTTCTCTAAGATACACCACCAAGAAAGGGGAGGAATCCTGTATGTCCTGTAACTCGAAGGATAAAACCTGATTGAACCATGATTCATGTGTAAGCCCATACACCCCGTTTAAATCTGTTCATATAGATCTTTGCAACCTTGTAGGCTCAATTCCACATACTTGTGAGCCTCTATCTGTTACGATGACCTTGTCTGTCTGGTCTTGTTTATCCTTTTTTTTGTTTTGCTGTTGTTTAAAAAAAAAAAAGTAATAAAAACAAACAAACAAAAAAACAGCATTTCCATTCTATGAATGTCCAACTTACATGCAACATGCAAATGAGCCAAACAAATTTAGTTCCATGCTGACCTGGTTCAATTCATGATTCCTTCATACTGTGGAATATGCTTTAACAAATGCATTTAACTTCTCACTGACTCCAACGGGTTCTCTGGTCCTCTATTATAGGTCCAGCTGAAAACTCAGCTTTTCAAACAACACTCTGTTTCATGCAAATTGGGACGTTTGATTTGACATCCAAGACCCCA